TTAGTCATGATCTTGATGACACAGACTAGGAAGAGTATTGTGTCACATAGCTAATAGTAACAGAGAAAACCAACACATCCATTCTTAGGTATGTAACTGAAGTGAGCACAGGGAATCACTGAGAACAAGGAACCATGCCTCGCGGCTGTTTCTTCTTTCTGAAGTTGAGTCTGGGACCTAAACTTTGTGGGCTGCCACAACCCCTGAGAAAAAGAGCCACAACTTTAACCCAAAACTTTGCATGTAGAGTTCATCATTAGCTTCCTTTGCAGCTGAGGAAGCAGACTGATCAGAGAGCCGTAGGAAGATACAGATCTCCATATGTTTTCCAAACTAAGACATTCTGCAGTCTGCTAGAGGCTCCAGTCACAGCATTCTTTGTGCCACAATCTCATTTCTACTGCTGAACACTCAGAGTGTGTGGAATTGGGGTGTTAATTACTCAAGAATGTTATTCAAGCATCCTCGTAAGCTCCACTTAAATGTCTGTTTAATAAGGCCATCAGTTCCTATCATAGGGCAATAAGATGCAGAGTCTATCGTTTCTGCTTTTGTTTGTTTCTTTATTTGTTTGTTTGTTTTAAAAAGTGAAGGTCCTCAATTCAACCATCTCTGTCTGTCTGTCAGTACTGAATGTATTGTTGTGAGAGCTGACTTCATATAATCTACCAACATTTATGTACAATGTTTAGTAGTGTGAAACCAAAACTGCAGGAATCCACGATTCTTTCTGGAAGTTTCTGCATCCCCTGGCTGTGGCAGATAAATAAGAAATTAAATGGCCTTTATTAAAGATAGGATACTTTTGGGAAGTGGGAGAGTTTTACAGGAGGTAACATTCTTGATTTTTTTTTCCAATCAAATTCAAGTAGGACTGTAAGTAGCTGTCTCCATAGTGATCAGTCTCAACCTATGAAAGATGAAGTTCTCATTTGGGAATCTTTACTTCATTTTATCATTTCCTTCACTACACAGACATTTTAAAAGATTCAATAAAGAAAGAAATACTAAACTAAATGTTTTCAATCTGTTTCCTTTATAAAGTTTGTTATAAAGTGGTTTAGTAGTATTATTCAAATAATGAAATGTTAAGGGCAAATAGAATTGTAGAAAAGTAGATTAAAGAAAGTTATTATGGGACTTAATTGTGGGACTTAGTACTGGCTCCTGAACTTTGTCTTTATTCCCCTTTCAGAAGGGAATGTTAGGGACCCAGGTTTATGGGGGTCTCTTGTGGGAAGAAAAGTTGGTCTAAATCGAAGAGAATGATGGCCATGCCATGCTAGATAACAGTGTTCCATAAAGTGCACACGCACACACACACACACACACACACACACACACACAAACATATGTGTGTAATATCATAACTTACAGTGTGAAATCTAGACAAAGTCCCACATACAGAGGGACTAGTTTGGTCCTATGCAGGTTCCCCTGATGTCAGAACAGAATCAGTGAGCTCCCGCTAGCTCAGGTCAGCTGTTTCTGTGGGTATACCCAAAGTGGTCATGGCCCATTTATACATATTATCGCTCCTCCCTTTCTTCGACTGTACTCTTGAAGCTTGGCCCGGTGCTTAGCTGTGGATATTTGCATCTGCTTTCACCAATTACTGGATAAAGGTTCTATGATGACAATTAAGGTAGTCATCAATCTGATTACAGGGGAAGGGCAGTTCAGGTACCCTTTCCACTGATGCTTAGATTCTTAGCAGGGGTTATCTTTGTGGATTCCTGGGAATTTCCTTAGCACCCCATAATGGCTCCCTCTATCAAGGTATCTCCTTCTTTGCTCTCCCCTCTGTATTTGCCCCATCTCAACCATCCAAGTCCTTCATGGTATCCTCCCCCTCCCTTTCTTCCTCCTCATCCCTTTCTGCCTCCCTTCTCCTGACCCCCATGTTCCCAGTTTTCTCAGAAGATCTTGTGTATTTCCCCTTCCCAAGAAGATCTATGTATGTCTTAGAATTCTCCTTGTTACCTAGTTTCTCTGAGGTCCTGGACTATAGGCTGGTTATCATTTACTTTATAAGTAAGATCCACTTATGAGTGAGTATATACCATGTTTGTCTTTCTGGGTCTGAGTCTGGGGCACCTCACTTAGCATTTTTTTTTACTAGTTCCATTCTTTTTGCATGCAAATTTCAAGATGTCATTGTTTTTACTGTGGAATAGTACTCCATTGCGTAAATGTACCAATGTACCACTTTTTTTGTTTGTTTGTTTCTTTGTTTTTGTTTTTCAAGACAGGGTTTCTCTATATTGCTTTGGAGTGCTCCCGAGTGCTGGGGTTAAAGACATGTGCCACCAAACCCGGCCTGTACTACATTTTCTTCATTCATTCTTTAGTTGAGGGGCATCAAGGGTACTTCCAGGTTCTGGCTGTAACAAATAATGCTATGAAAATAGTTGAGCAAGTATCCTTGTGGTATGATTGAGGATCCTTTGTGTATATGGTATATGCCCAAGAGTGGAATTGCTGGGTTGACCCCTAATTTTCTGAGAAACCTCCATACTGATTTCTAAAGTGGCTGTACAAGTTTACACTTCCATCAGCTGTGAAGGAGTGTTCCCCTTACTCTGCATCCTCTCTAGCATAAGCTATCATCAGTGTGTGAGTGTGTGTGTGTGTGTGTGTGTGTGTGTGTGTGTGTGTGTGTGTGTATCTTAGCCATTCTGACAGGTGTAAGAGGGTATCTCAGAATTGTTTTGATTTGCATTTCCTTGATGGCTAAAAATATTGAGAAATTCTTTTAATGCCTTTTGGTCATTTGAGACTGTTCTGTTGAGAATTCTGTTTAGATCTGTACCCCATTTTTTAAATTAGATTATTTGGTATTTTGATGTTAGTTTCTTGAGTTCTTTGTATATTTTTGAGATCAGTCCTCTGTCCATTGTGAGGTGCATGAAGATCTTTTCCAAATCTGTAGGCTGTCATTTTGTGTTAATGACTGTATCTTTTGCCTTATAGAAGTTTATCAGTTTCAGGATGTCCCATTTATTAATTGTCAATCTGGGTGTCTGTGCTACTGGTGTTATATTTAGAAAGTGATTACTTATGTCTATGCATTCAAAGCTTCTCATTTTTCTCTTCTCTAAGGTTCATTGTGACTAGATTTATGTTGAGGTTTTTGATCCATTTAGACTTAACTTTTTTGCATAGTGATAGATATGGATCTATTTACATTCTTCTACATGTTTGACATCCAGTCATGTTAGCGCCATCAACTGTGTTGATCCTACCTATTAAAGAGCATTTCAATTTTCTGATATCTTGTTTAATATCTTTCTTCAAAGACTTAAAGTTCTTGTCACATTGGGCCTTTACTTCTTTTGTTAGCATTACTCCAAGGAATTTTAGGATATTTGTAGCTATTGTAAAGGGTAATGTTTCTCTAATTTCTTTCTCAACCCATTTATCATTTATATATAGGAGGGCTACTGATTTTTTTCTTTTAGTTGATCTTGTATCAGGCCACATTACAGAAGGTGTTTATCAGCTATAGGAGTTCCCTGGTAGAATTTTTCGGGTCACTTATGTATACTATCTTATCTGCAAATAACAAAAGTTTGGCTTCTTCCTTTCCAATTTCTATCCTCTTGATCTCCTTGTGCTGTCTTATTGTTCTAGCTATAACTACAAGTACAATATTGAATAGATATGGAGAAATTGGACAACATCTTCTTGTTCATAATTTTAGTGGAATGGCTTTGAGTTTCTCTCAAAGTCTCCTACTATTAGCCTGTGAAGTTAGATGTAGGATTTAAGCTTTATTATTGTTTCTTTTACATATGTAGATGCTCTTATATTTGGGGCATAGATATTCAGAATTGAAACTTCATCTTTATGGATGTTTCCTTTGATGAGTATGAAGTGTCTTCTCCATCTCTTTTGAGTGATTTTAGTTTGAAGTCTATTTTGTTAGATATTAGAAAAGTTACACCCACTTGTTTCTTAGGCCCATTAGACTGGAAAATTTCTTCCCAACCCTTCACTCTGAGGTAATGTCTGTATTTCTGTTTGAGGTATGTTTCTTGTATGCAGCAGAAGAATGAATCCTGTTTTGTATCCATTCTATTAGCTTGTGCCTTTATATAGGTGAATTGAGTTTGGAGATATTGATGAATTAATTAGTAATCACTATTGCTAATTCCTGTTATTTTTTGGTGGTAGTGTTTGTGTGTTTCTCTTCTTTGGAGTTTGCTGATGTGAGGTTATCTGTTGCCTGTATGCTCGTGGGTGCAGCTAACTTCCTTGGGTTGGAGTTTTCCTTCTAGTACTTTCGGTAAGGCTGGATTTGTGGATAGGCATAAATGGAGTTCTTAATTGGTGTAAATATTAAAAACCTGGAGTCAGATACAGAGGAAAATTCTGAGAGACCAGGGAGAAGAAGGAGCATGCCAAAGTCACCTTTATCTCATTAGCTTCACAGTGGAAAAGGCAGTAAGTTCCTGTTTCTTCCAGTTTGTATCCTCTCTCCACTCGGACAACTCACTTTCTGTCTCTGCCCTGCCATCTAACTTCCTGTCTGTCTGTACAGACCTCCTGCCCGCTATGGTTAGCTTGTGGGAAGCTCCATCCTCTGATCTTCTGACAGCCTTTAGTTGTACAAGCAAGATTATCACCACACATAGGCATTGTTTATGCTAAACATACAGAATAAATAAAGAATATCAAAAGCTGCAAGAGAAAAAGGTCAGGTAGCACATAAAGGCAGACCTATCAGAATTTCACACAACTTGTCAATGGAAAATCTTAAAGCCCGAACGTCTTAGACAGATATACTGCAGACACTAAGAGACCATGGATGCCAGCCCAAACTACTATATCCAGCAAAGCAAATCACCATAGATGGAGAAAACATGATATTCCATGACATAGCCAGATTTAAACAATGCTCTCCTCCTCATCAGTGCTGTTAAAAAAGAATCACAAATTTTCCTTTTATAGGATTTCTCCTTGATGACAAATGCATTAACATTTGCTTTCCCAGGCAGACTCCAAAATGTGGTGGCTTTTAGCAGCAGCATGCTGTGTGCTTCTTCCTGGACCCATGTGTGGCTATAAGCAAGAGAGCATCACAAATCCTGAAGCCAATATGAACATTGTAAGTCATTCATTCAGAAAACAAAAACAAAACTGGATAACAAATTACTAAGTTCTCACTATTTTAGGTATAAGTTGTGTATCATGAGTTTTTCTAATGACTAAATTTGAACTTTCTGTTGTGTGCTCACCAAAACTAACTAATCCTGGAATTGAAAGCTCTGAGCCACATTGGAGCAACAATCGTGGTGGGTTTTTGTTGATGCTGTTGTTTGTTTGCCTGTTTTTTAAGTGGTGGCTTCCTGAAGAGGAGGTTCAGGATTTATTCTGGTGAACAATTGTTGCATACCCTAGAATTCTTCCTGAGGCTTTGTGTATGCTGTCTTCATGGTTTTGTGAGCTACACCAGTGTACTTTTGAGGTTGAATAAGCCAAGGTTGGTTTATGTACCTTTAAGTCCAAAGGACTAGCATACTCAAACATAGACTGTGTACTTCACAGGAACAAAGTGTAACCTTGTGACACAGGTATAGACTTTGGAGCTAAACTTACCTTAGTTGAACATCTTTCTCTTCCTAATGTATTATCTTGGATAAGTCACTAACTTTCCTATCTCCAGTTTTCTCAATTCTAAAATGTGAACATTTCTATTGCAAACACTTCTTAAAAGGATCACCCTCCCTGTGGAGTGAGGGCGGGTGAATGGGATGGGAGGGTGGTTGTGGGTGGCATGAGAGGATGGAGAGAGGGAGGGAGAGGGAACTAGAATCGATATGTAAAATAAGATAAATAAATAAACAAACAAATAAATGGATTGATGAAATAGAGCAAATGCCTCTGCCTCTGTGCATGTCTGTGGATAGAGTAGTTTCTGCTGGCCCTTCTAACTCGTTTTATGTTTCTACTTTTCATTCTCTCTGAAAGGTTTGCCTATAAGGGCTAGATCTAAATGTTCCCCAGATTTATTTTTAGTAACCAATTACCCATTGAAAATCTTGATCAGGGGATAGAAAGAAAGAGAAGAGTGAGATAGAGTGTTTTGGTCTTTTGTTTCTGTTTCTGTTTTCAATTGCCCTTGCTCTGCCTTGAGAAGTTACCTTAGTTAGTCATCTCCATTGATGTGGTCCTTCCCTTTTCCTTCCTGGATCCTAATAACCACTTCCTTTCATATCCCCTTGGAGCCAAATTGGTAGGAGCTCACTTATCATTAGCTGAAAGACACCTCCCAGTCTTCTGTGGTTTCTCTCATTAGTCAACTATTTATATTTCTTGTTGCCAAAACACTTTAATAGTGAACTACCAGGATTAGTAACACTGGGCCCACAGCATATCTAGATACCATCCTGAGGATGGTAAATGTTGAGTCACTCCACTGTTACATTACCCCTTTGCATTCAGTCCCTTCCTGAAATATACTTTTTTCCTGCTATATGCTATTGCCTAACATGTAGGTTGGTGAACAGTAGGTTGATATTACAAGAAATTACAAAAACTATATTGCAATGAATACATAAAAAGCAAATTGAATTATGGGTATGTATTTTTCCTTCCTCCCTTTCAGAGTCAACTAATTTCTTACTGGGGCTATCCTTATGAAGAATACGATGTTGTAACAGAGGATGGTTATGTCCTTGGGATTTACCGGATTCCCCATGGCAAAGGATGTTCAAGGAAAACAGGTATGATTTACTTTGCTTTGAAATCAAAATGCCTGAAATAGAGATGCCTAGGCGTCCTGGCAGGAGCAGGGAAGCTATCTGTCTGCAATGGGTCATATTCATTTTTATCAGAGAAGGAAAGGCATCCTTACCTCTATTTAATTTACACAACTTTTAAAAAAACATTTTGCCATTTTTATAAATGTTGCTTGCTTGGTATTTCCCTTTCTCCATGTCTTTCTTTCTCTAACTATATAAATAAATAAGTAAGCAAAAGGTAGTGTATCCTCTTCCCTTTAGTAGGTGTATAGGTTAGAAACCCAGGAGTCATAATTGCCATAATGAAGATAGTCCTTCTGTAGCACTGACCACGCCCATTGGGGGGTGGAGCCATGGGCGGAAGTGACCTGTGGAAGGAGGTAGGAGGGGGCCAGGAAGGCGCTCTCTTTCTGGCGTGACTCAGACAGGAGAGGATCGGGTTGAATTTCCTGGTGTTCATCTGTCTAGGTTGTAAGTTATTTCTCCCTGAATAAACATCTATTCGGCCTATTTGTTTATCCTGATCCTTATTTACCGCAATAATAATGAACTCACTGACAAGCTAAATGTAATCAGTTGCCTTCCAAACATACGTCACCTGAAAACTTTTCTTAGCTTTAATGATATTCAAATCCAGATTTGGACATAATCTCATCTATTGTAATACATGGTAATTGAGCTAGCTAATGTATAATCCCATCCCCAGGCAAATCAGTGTGATTTTATTCTTTTAAGCAAGTTTGATCCCACTAATGCTGTCCTCTCGACTCTTTAAAGAGCTCTTTCCAGCTCTCTGCTGTGTGTAGGGAACAGTAATAACCCATTTAGAAGGAACACTTTACTGCTTTCAGTGATAAGAAAGTTGTCATTTTTTTTTAATATTTGCTGACCACTGGGCAACTTTATCATTTGACTTATTTCAGGAAAGCCTAGAACTTTTAATAAGATGTTTCTTTTGATTAGATTTATTTTTTATATATGAACATTTTTCCTGCATTTATGTCCATGCCCCCCGTGTGTGCCTGGTGCCTGTGGAGGCCAGAGGATGGTGTCAGATCCCCTGGTCCTAGTGTTATACATAGTTGAAATCTGCTGTGTGGGTGCTGGGAATCAAACCCTGATCCTCTGCAAGAGCAACTAGCGCTCTAAACCTCGGAGCCATCTCTCCAGCTCCTGGTAAGATGCTTCTGAAGAAATAATATGAATGAAAATAATAGTAGAGCTGATATTTATTTTTTACTCTGAAGTCTTTTATGCTTAATTTTTAATTGAATGTTTAAACCTCTCCTATGAGAGAACATTTGCTAGTATATAAATAAAATGAAGCACATACAAACACATCAAGATAGATGTTTGAACCAGAAAAATATGGTTCTAACAAACATCTAGGAGGCATAGTACATTACACATAGTCTTCACCTTATGAATGGGGAAAGTAGGACTTAGTCACATGTCCAAGAGTCTAAGAGACTGAACCCTGGGCTTTCCTGACACAAAATTTCATCTTGTAACCCTGACTATATGTGAAGAAGTTAGAAAACAGGGTTTGCAAATAGGCTGAAGGGGTCAGGGAAAGAAATTTTGTTGTCTCTTTTTCAGTTCCAAAAGCAGTTGTGTATCTGCAGCATGGCTTAGCTGCATCTGCCACCAACTGGATTTGCAACTTGCCCAACAACAGCTTGGCTTTTCTTCTGGCTGATAGTGGTTATGATGTGTGGTTGGGGAACAGCCGAGGAAACACCTGGTCCAGAAAACACCTGAGGTTGTCCCCCAAGTCACCTCAATATTGGGCCTTCAGGTAAGAGAAGCCTGTGTGTGAATGAAGTGCTTACTCACAAGCACAAATTCTTCTTGGTTTCCCCTCTTTGTCCAGAATGGAATCTATAAGAAGGAAACTAGAATTTCTCCCCACTCAGGTTTTCTTCAACCTGAAAAGATACTCTCTAATTGCTGCATTGCTGCTTGTCTTTAAAGCCATTTCTGACCTGATGTGACTGACTTGGGGGTGGGGGTGGGGGTAGGGTTTGTACTTATCCAAATGTGGCAAAGTAGCAGAGAGTTGTTCCTGATGCCTGACTTGCTAGTCACAGGGAGTTGTCCCATGGCCTTATTCCTGCATTCTTTCTGGAAGTCAATAGATATTTCTTAAATCTTCTCTGGGATGAATGGGCTATGACAGCCTCATGGAACACTTATCAGTAGGCTTTCACACCAGACCCTTTTTATTCCAGTTTCCTGGCAGTGGTGCCATTGCAGTGATGATGTGAAGACAACAACCTGAAAAGTTGTCCAGACACACTGTCCTCTCATGTAGAGCCAAAGCTGAGTATCTATGTCTACAAGAAATCCTTGCAAATGTTGCAGGTCTCATAACCACTTACCTTTTCTAATTCCTTTTCTTTGGCAGTTTGGATGAGATGGCTAAATATGATCTTCCAGCCACAATTAATCTAATCTTGGAGAAAAGTGGACAGAAGCAACTCTTCTATGTGGGCCACTCACAGGGTACCACTATAGGTGTGTTTGGGGAGGTGCAATCAGATGATGTGAGGGATTTTCTTTTGTGTTTGTTGGAGGGGTTGGGTTGTTTGCTTATTTGTTTCTATGTTTGGTTATTCTCTGTAGTCTCAGGTGTGTGGGGCTTTAGGAAACCATTTCCTCTAGGTAGTTCCTGAAGAAAAAATAAAACAAGACACTGAATTTGGAGGTTAATAGGACTTAATTTATGTTCTCAGCAAACAAGATCCCAGGTTATATTCTAAGGAATCTGACAGTCTAGAGGAAGACACCAAATTAAAAGCATAGAATTATGAAACTGATTATATGTTAGGGTCAGTGTGGCTTTTCTTGCTGGGGAGGCAATGGACTGAGCTAGGACAGAGCCATAGGTACTTCTGGCTGTTCTCCCTTGTTGAAAAACATACATTTGGGACCACAATATCCAGATTTCTTAGATTATTAAGTTCAGAAAATTTTTTTCAAAGAGTAAAAATAACAAGTTACACTTTAAGATTTATTTTTTTCATGTATTTTTATGTAGTACTTTAACATATATGAAACTATGTACATATATGTGCATGTCTGTGTAATCTCATAGATACATGTAACAGTCATTATCTGAAGATTATATCATCCTTATTTCTATCTTGAAGAAACTGAGATTGATACAAAGGAGGTAACTTTCACAGTTATTGAATTAGAAGCCAAGATGATCACTTGGTTTTATATTGCTGAACCAAGGTTCGGCTATCCTGGTCTCTGGAGTTGAAGATACATACTCCACAGAATGTGACTGAACCTTCTCTTCAACACTCTCTATACAAGCACACTTGCACTCTACAAGAAAGAGCCCACTCTACCCTTGAGAAATTTAAAATCCCTCCCCATAAACAGTGCTCCCTGTTTTGTTTTGTTTTGTGTTCTATGTAGCTACCTTTAGAGTGATTTGTGACAAAGAGATAATTGGAAGTTTATGTGAGCTAACGTCTTCTTTTTCTGCAGCATTCATAGCATTCTCAACAAATCCAGAACTGGCTAAAAAGATTAAGATATTTTTTGCACTTGCTCCAGTGGTCACCGTAAAGTACACTAGAAGTCCCATGAAAAAATTAACCACTCTTTCCAGGCAAGCTGTCAAGGTATGTAAGTTCCTTGGGTTTAAGGGAGAAGGAACTGGAAGTCTCCCTGTTTCCACAGATATCAAGAGAAGGCATGTGGCATTTTTTGCTTGTTTGTTTTTGTTTTTCAAGACAGGGTTTCTCTGTCTTGAGGCCGGCCTCAAACTCACAGAGATCTACCTGCCTTTGCCTCTTGAGTGCTGGAATTAAAGGTATGTGCCACCACTGCTAGGCTGACATGTGACATTTTAAAAATTTTGATGATGTAAAAAGTGATCAAAAGTTACATACAGGTTTGCTGATGGTTCAGTATCTTATCAGCAGGAGCTAGTCCTGATGTGTTCTGCTCCATAGTCATCTCTAACTACAGAACATCTATCCCTCAACCTTACCTCGCAAACACAACTAAAGTGAGACCCTACTGGATATTTCTGAGGAATCTTATTCTCCTCGTTCCAGCTTCAGTTACCTTTCTCCACGTTTTCATTACCTGTTACATCTGTAGAGTTCCCTTTCCTCACATATTCACTACTTGTTATCTGTAGAGTTCTCTTTTCCCCACATCTTTAATGCCTGTTATCTGTAGAGTTCTGTTTCCCCGCATATTGACTACCTGTTATCTGTAGAGTTCACTATGCCCCACATCTTAAATGCCTGTTATGAGCAGAGTTCCCTTTTCCTCACATCTTAAATGCCGATTATATGTAGAGTTCCCTGTTCCTCATATCTTAAATGCCTGTTATGGGTAGAGTTCTCTGTTCCTCACATCTCAAATGCCTGTTATCTGTAGTACTTTTGGTAAAAGTTTCTCTAACTAGAGTGACGTAACTCCTGTGGTTTTGTTGTGTTTTCATGGTGATGGCTGAGCATTTATTTTCCACACACTTGAGGACTGCTTATGCATCTTCTTTTGAGAAATACCTATTTAATTCTATCTCCCATTTCTAATCAGATTTTTATGCTACTAAGCTGAGCCCCTTACACATTTTGAACATCAACCCCATCAGATGTGTAATTTGCCTATATTCTTTCCCTTTCCATGTGGCCATTCCTTGTTTCCTTTGCTACTCCAAAGCTTCCTAGTTTTATGAGGTCCTGTCTAACTACTTTTGCTTTTGTTTCCGATAATGCAGTAGTCTTATATATTACAAATTCCTAGATAATTCCAAAATCCACAAACACTTTTCCTCTACTTTTTTCTGTGAGTCTCAGGTTTTGCAAATTTAGTTTACTACCTTCAGACTTTTTACACATGTACATCTAATCTTTGCAGCGTGGTTTATTGAAGAGGCTGCAACTTTCCCAGTGTGTGTGTGTGTGTGTGTGTGTGTGTGTGTGTGTGTGTGTGTGTGTGTGTTCCTAGCCCATTTGGCTGTCTCATGTGGCTATAATATATATAGTTCCATTGGCCTGTGTGTATTTTTTTGTGTGATAATGCCATGATATTTCTGTCAGTGCAGCTTTGTATTACATCACTAAATTGGGTACCATGTCTTCAACTTCATTCTTTTTGCTCAATATTGTTCTAGATGTTCTGGTTCCATATGAGTTTTAGGATGTGTTTCTTATTCTATGAAGATAAGATGGGTATTTTTAAAAACAAAATTACATTTCAACTATTTTAATGGGGTCTTAATATATGCACATGGCATGCTTGAGTTTTATGTTCTCTTTGATTGTTTTCATCTGTTTCAGAGTTCTCATTGTAGAAAATTTTGCTTCTGGTTAATTTATTCCAAAATATTTCATTTTATGATATATATATATGTATATATAAATTTTTTTCTTATTTTACATATAAGTTCCAGTTCCCTCTCCCTCCCTCCCATGCCCCCCAATTCCCCTTCTGTCCCTCCCCCCCACACACCACTCCACAGGGAGGGTGATGTCTTCTGAGAGGGATCAATAAAATCTGTCAAGTCATTTGGAGTAGGGTCTAGGCCCTCCCTCCTGTCTCTAGGCTAAGGGAGTATCTCTCCATGGGGAATGTGCTCCCAAAGTCCTTTTGTGCCCCAGGGATACACCCTGGTTCCACTGTCAGAGGTCCCTTATTTTTTATAGTTATCCTAAATGGGAGTGCTTTCTTTATTTCCTTTGTGGATAATTTTGTATGAGTGTATAGAAATGCTGTTGATGTCCACATATTAATTTTAGATCCTACAACTTTATCAAATCTACTTATTAGTTTTAGTAGTTTGGGGGTAATCTTTGGAGTTTCCTATATGTATGATCATACTGTATAAAATGGTGACAAGTTGAATTTCTTCTTTCAAAATTGTAGGCAAGGTCAGGTGTGGTGGTGTATATCTATAATCCCAGAAGTCAGGAGTCTGAGTCAGGGGATGGTGAGTTAAAGGCCAGTTGTTTAGAAAGAGAGAGCCTTTCCTGGCCCCCTCCGACCTCCTTCCACAGGTCACTTCCGCCCATGGCTCCACCCCCCAATGGGCGTGGTCAGTGCTTGGCTATATACTAAATTTGAGTTCAAATTGATCTATGTAGCAAACACCATTCTCAATAAATAAAGATAGATAGTAAGTAAGCAGACAATGCCATTTGCTTCTTTTTTCTGCCTTATTGCTCCAGTGAGGACTTCCACTCCTGGTTTGTATATTATGATGAGTGTGACAACTTTATTTTTTCTCTGATCTTAAAGAGCTTGCCACCTTTCCCATTTGTGATATCGCTAGTTGTGTGATTAATATTTGATTATGTTTGAGATACATCTCTCTCATACCAATTTGTTCATAGTCTTTATAGGAAAGAATGTTCAAGCTTATCAAAAACTTTACCGCATCTATTGAAGTGATAATGTGTTTTTGTAATTTATTATTGGAGGGACATGAACTGCATATGGGTTGGTTTGAGGACAACTTTGTGGAGTTGGTTCTCTTCTTCTAATATGACATATGTTCCAGGGATCAAATTCATGTCACTAGGTTTGAACAAGTGCTCTCCCATGCTGAGACATCTCACTAGACCACTAATATGCTTGTTTGTTTTTATTGCTATTGGTGTTGTTTTTGTCTTTCACTCTGTTGAGTTTTATTTCCATATTTTGAACCACCCTTACATCTTTTTAATGAATTCCATTTGATTGGGACAATTTATCTTTTAATGGGTTATATTTGGCTTACTACATTCTGTATTGTGGATATTTCATCTGGGAATAATTTTCTGGTTTTGTTACTACCTTGTCTGGTTTGCATATCAGGATAATATTGGCTACATAGAATGAATTTGGGAACCTCCTTTTTTAATTTGAATAATTTTAGAAATTTTCGTATTAGCTCCTCTATGAGTGCTTGGCAGAATTCACCAGTGAAACCATTGGTCATGAGCTTTCCTGTGATGAGAGACTATTCTTTATCAATTACTTATTGTTTGCCATTATTGACTATTCCTTGTCAATTTCTTATTGCTAGCTAGTGTTGACCTGTTCAGGTTTCTTTTTATTACTTGGTATTGGCTAGACATACACATGTCTTTTAGAGTATCGATGTTGGTATCTAGTTGCATGTAGTTAGTGACATTTGATTTCTGATATGGGTGCTGAGAAACAAACTCAGGTCCTCTGTAACAGCAGTATGAGCTCTAGACCACTGACTGAGCCATCTCTGCAGCCCAAGATTTTCAATTTTTAAAAAGTCATAGAAGATTTTAGTTGCACCTAACTTATTATTTATCCTGGAAAATATTCCATGTAGTGACTATATGCTATCAGTGTTTGCTCTTGAGATTGCTGTAGTGAGACTTTCCATGTCCCCCTAGCCAGCTCCCAGATCTTGACATGGATACTTATTATTAATTATGAAAGCTTGACAAATAGCTTATCTTTTTCTAATTAGCTTTTATAACCTAAATTAATTAATATCTTTTTAATCTACATTATTTTATATGACTCAGTTTCCTTTAATTTGTAGTGCCCATGCTGCTTGCTCTGCATCTTGGTGTCTCTGCCCTTCTATTTCCCAGCATCTTCTTTGCCTAGAAATCCTATCTAACCATTGGCCATTCAGCTTTTTATTAAATCAACCAGGTGGCATATCTTTACAAAGTATACAAAAAGATTATTTCACAACACTTCTCCATTTTTTTCTAAATAAAAAGGAAAAGGTTTGAATTCTGACATAGTAAAACTACATACAATAAGAACAATTATCAAAGCCAGGTGGTGGTGGCACACACCTTTAATCACAGAACTTGGAAGGCAGAGGCAGACAGAAATATGTGAGTTTGAGGCCATCTTGGTCCACAGAGTGAGCTCCAAAGCTAAACAGAAAAACTCTGTCTTGAAAAAAGAAAAACTATTATCAAGAATGATTTACAATATCCAGTCCATTAGTATGTGAAAAATTTAGAGAAAATAATCCATTATTTATCTCATCTTGGTGACTCCAAATTGTATCTAATTTACCTTTTATCATAACTAAGAAAATCTGTAATTATGACTATCCAGTCTTCAATTCCATCAAATGCCCCAAAGGATATACTATTACTTGAGTAAACATGAAATGCAGAGCATCTAACTTCTGAAACTGTAGAAAGGTCAGAGACATCTGGCTGCCTGGACAGTCACCCCAAAGTTCTTCTGTAACTTTGGGTCATCCATCTTTGACCTACAGGCATAGAATATCTTACAGACTTTTCTGTGAAGCAGGAATTTTGAAGTATTGTCCCATCTTGTTTGGGCAAAGTTCAGCAGTCAATTTCCTGTGTATCCTGCAGAAGGTCTGGCAGACTTTTCCATGAAGCTATAATTTTGAAGGATTATCTAACCTTATCTTGGCAAAGTTCAACAGTCTTTTTCCTTTGTGTCCTGATTGTACAGTTTGCACAGCATACTGTCAGCAGTCAAAACAAGAGCAGTTTCTTGCCCAAATAGCTAGTTTTGCCAAGTTGAAAGCAAACTCCATACGGAGTTTCTTCGATGCTCATGATCTATGAAGTAGATTGGTGCTGCCAGGAATAGACATGTCTCATTGTCATGAAAAACCCCATGTTAAGAAAATAGTTTAAATGCC